ACTTGTTTTTCTATATTTCTTTTAATCCATTATATATTTTAATTATCAATAAGTGCTGTTCTTACAATATTCTATCAGCTTGTAAGTTATAAAATTTAATTTATTAAGAAAATTAGAAATTGGAATGTTACATAAACTAATATACTAGTATCTTGTGTAATATATCTTGTATTTTACACATGACATGATCTAATATTTTATTTTAATGTAAACTCTTAACAAAAATTAGAGGATTACTTAATCTTTCTTAAAAAATGCAAAATTCGGACCGCTGTAACTTTATTAAAAATAAACAAAATTTAAATCCAAAGAAAGAGTTTCGAAGCTTAAAATCTCTATTTTTAACAGGTCACTATTTTTTGAGTTTCTGTTTGGTAACTTTTACATATAGAAAACTACTATCTGAGCAATATGGGAAATTTTCTTCTTATCTTATGGTGCTGTTACGTGCCCCCAAAAAATCTGCGAAAATTTTCGACTTTCTAATATGAAAGCTTAAAGCTTTTTTTTACGAAATTATTTTTTTTAATGTTTCTAAGATTTTTTGTTACTGAGTTATCACGGATTAAATAAAAAATGAGCATTTCAAATTTGATTTCTCATAACTACGTTATCAAAAATCATAAAATATAAAAAAATTTGTTGTTGTTGTTGTTGACGTTTAGTAAAGGTAATGTACTATCAGTGCACTAAAAAGCAATATTTTTATCGTTAATTGACCTTTTTTTCATTTATTTTTTTTTATCGTTAAATGAAGCAATTTCACAATTTCATAATTATAGCTACACAGACAAATATATATACTGCAAAGCCATAATTATAGCTATGCAGACAAATATATAAACTGTGTAGCCATAATGATAGCTATGCAAACAAACATATAATAATTGTAGCTATGCAGATATATAATAATTGTATATATGTATATATGTATATATATAATTAATTAAATATATATATTATTTAATTTAAATAAATATGTATATATTATTTAATTTAATTTAAATAATTTAAATAATTAAATAAATAATGAAAAAACTTACTTGTCTAATAATTTGTTGAGGTATGTCCATTTTTTTAATAATAACTTGATAAAAAAAAACTTGACAACAACAAAAACTGACACTTGACACATATGATTATGTCTAACCTGTTTTTTCCCGCCACGATTACTTCAAGATGTCCTCAGTAAGTTATTAAAGTTCCCTATGCAGATGCTCAGAACGAATCTTATTGGTGAATCATTTTTTTTGCTTCTTAGATACACTCGGCAGCCAATGAGAGGACGCGTAGACGAGACCATATTGTTTTTTCACTTTTTATTAACAACATAAATTACGATAATTATACGCTTTAAACCTTCCTTGGTTAATAAGAAGCTTTTGAGCAAAAGATGATATCAAACTATGTAGTAATTATTGAGAACTAAAACCATAACCGATCCGAGCTCGGTGAAACGCATACTCCCTCCGTTTTTTGCCAACCTGCAGTTGGCAGCAGTCGGGAGTAAAAAAAAAATAGCATTTATAACATTTGATAGAGCAAAGTTTCAGCTTTAAAAATCTGTTTCTTTTTATTGCGGTACGATGGTATTTAATGGAGTTATGAGCAATCAAATTCAAAATGATCATTTTGCTTCCTCATGGAGGAAGCTTTGTTTTCGTGACAAATTTTTTTTCGAGTTTTCTATGCCAATGTGTTTAGAATGTTCCAAAATGTCGAAAAATCATATTCAAAATATCTTTAAAGATCGAAAACAATTTTTCAGAGATAACTCGATATATAAAGGAACAATGTCGTGAAAATAATCTAACACAACTACCTAGAATAAAATATAGTTAGCATAACGTTTACGTGTTCGCGTTCTCCTTTTATCGGGATGGCAAACGTTCGCCAAGTGGGTGTAGAGAGTAGACTTTGAAATTGGATAATTTGAAATTGAAATTACGACATGTGTGGAATCTCGACGACGGTTTTGCCTCCGCAAAGAAGAGGACGAAATACCACCTCCCGGTTTGCTCTCTCGCCTGCTTTCATTTCCTTTTTGTTGTTGCTCTCTCGTGTGCGTTCCTGCGCCTCTCGTGTTTGTCTCCCTTTTTCTTTCCCCACGTTTTCGCCGGTAAAAGGCGAGCATCCATTGTTTCGGCGCAGCATTTACTTCGCCGGAAACAAATGACCGGGCGCATAAAGACGATGGCAAAAAACCGCTAGTTTTCTTCGTTAAAACTAATATATGTCATCATTATTTTTAATAATGCAAAAAAGGGTAAGAACCCTATCACTATCGAGAAGTTGCTTCTGCTTGTCGCAGGCTTTCTCTGTCGCTTCTGCTTTTTCCGTTGTTCGTTTACCGGATTAACAAGGGTTGACAGACCGGCGACTAAAGGTCCGTCATTATGTCTTGGCCCTTGACAATTATTTATAGTGCATAGAGTTTTAGTGTATAATCGTCTTAATATATTATTAAACAGAAAATATTTACGATAACAGTTATAATTATATAGGATTTATCTCTTTTGCTTCCTCATAGAGGAAGCGTGTGTGTGTGTGTGTGTGTGTATGTACGCGATATTTTGTACAACTTCTAACTTCCGCAATTTTTGAGATATTGGGTTAAATTTTTTTTACATGGATAGAGTATTATTCAAAGATGGTTGGTATTGAATTTGGTGAGAATCGATGAAAAGGTTCATTTTTTATAAAATTTTTAATTTTTTGAGAAATGTCTGTATACATTGTAACTTTCGCAAATTTTGAGATATCAGGTTAAATTTTTTACATGGATAGAGTATTATTCAAAGATGGTTGGTATTGAATTTGGTGAGAATCGATGAAAAGGTTCATTTTTTATAAAATTTTTAATTTTTTGAGAAATGTCTGTATACATTGTAACTTTCGCAAATTTTGAGATATCAGGTTAAATTTTTTTAGATGGATAAAATATTATTAAAGGATAGTTACTACTGAATTTGATGAGAATCGATGAAAAGGTTCATTTTTTATAAAATTTTGAATTTTTTGAGAAATGTCTGTACACGCTGTAACTTTCGGAAAACTTGAGATATCGGATTAAATTCTTTTACATGAATAGAGTATTATTAAAGGATCGTTGGTACTGAATTTGGTGAGTATCGGTGAAAGGGTTCATTTTTCATAAAATTTTGAACTTTTTGAGAAATGTCTATACACGCTGTAACTTTCAGAAAATTTGAGATATGTCACAAAGCTTCCTCTATGAGGAAGCAAAAATTGAAAAATCCGCATGCTTAAAGCAGCTTAAGCTATGTAAGATAAAATGATGAGGAAGCAATGTGCAAGTTTCTAATTTGCACAACTCTAATTGTCTTGATATTTTTTTGTAAAACTAATAGTTTTTGAGATTGGATTTAATTGGAATTAATTCATAAATGGATTTAAATGGAATTAAAGAATAAAGAATCGTAATTTTAGGTCAGATCAAAATCAACTTTATTTTTTTTTAATGAAAACTATTTTTTATTGTACTTTCGGATTTATTTAATCAAAATAAATGTTTTTGGTACCTTATCAATTTTTCACAAAATCATAATAGTTTCCGAGATATTTGAGCTAAAAATTGCGATTTTCACGAGCACTAAAGCGCACAAACCTTTCATTTCGGGGGAGTGCCTAAAACGCGTTTGAAGTATTCGGAGGATCGCCGAAGCTTAACTTTTACAAAATAATGAGGCACAGCGCCCTTTTTCAGTATAGATTACTACCACAAAACATTTTCATTATGCTCCTATTCAGCTGATTGTTTTTAGTTAAAATCGATTCAAGTTGGCTCTTATTGCGACGATTTGTTCGATACGTTTAGTTATTAGAGTAAATTTATTTTGTTCTCTCTCGTTAATTGTATCATTATCAACATGGCAGATTACCCGCCCTCAGAAATTGTTGATATGATTGGTATTTATTATGTCGCTGATAATAATGCTAGAGAAGCAGTTCGTCAATATCGAGATAAGTATCCGGATAGACGACATCCCGATCATAAAGCAATTTTGCATTTAATAGCTAGAGCGCGTACGGGACAGATGAAACGCAAACGTTCTAAAAAACCATTGAATAACAACGATGCTATTATCGTAACTATATTAGGAATGATAATAATGAATCCGCACATTAGTCAATGTCAAATTAGTTGTGATTTAAATATGTCTTCTGCGACTGTAAATAGAATTTTACGTGGCAATCATATTCATCCTTATCACATTTCACTTAATCAGAAGCTTTCTGATGATGATAAAGTTCTTCGTGTCACATTCTGCAGATAGGCTGTAACTCAAATTCAGCTCGATCCCTCATTTGTTTCTCGTATTATGTTTAGTGACGAGGCCGCATTTGAGAGCAATGGCATACTGAATCGGCATATTAGCCATTATTATTCTGATATCAATCCGCATTGGGTTCGTCATGTAGACAATTAGCATCGATGGAAGGTGATAGTTTAGTGTGGTATGGTTTTAGATAGTCATATTGTTGGACCCTACTCTTTTGATAGCAATATTACAGGGAAATCATATTTACGTATGCTACGAGATGTGTTGCCAAGGATGTTAGAGTTTGTCAATGAAGATATAGTCCAACGTATGTGGTTGCAACAGGACGGTACACACCATGCACGTCCTGTAAGAGACTTTTAATATAACTATATGCTTATAATTATGTTTAATTTTAATAAATGATAAAGTTTATTTCTATTTAGGCTGATAACATTTTTTTAGTACATCTTTGCATAGTCGTTACGTCGAGCCCGTAGTATTAAATTTTTGGAATATTTGAATCAAATATTGCCACAACAAGCGTCTCTCCAAGCTCAAATAAAGTTTCGTAAGGCAAATTACATATTAATAAGAAGATAAACTGTATATCATGATTCTATTGCTCTAAGTTATTCTTTCAGTTTTGACCTGCAGCATTTCCGGTTTAATGATATGTATAATTCTACTCACGTGCATAGCTTTACCATTTATAAATAATCAAAGTTTGACTTTTGCTTAGTAACGATATCGACTTAAAAGAGAAAACAACGTTTTTAAGTACAACTGCATATATTTTTTGCTGTTACTTTGTTGTTAAGACTGTTCTGTTTGTTTTATTTTAATGACGATGGATAAAAATACAATTGATCCAGCCAAATCAATTCCAACGTTTTACGCTGGACAAAGTATATTTTTGACAGGCGCGACAGGATTTCTGGGCAAAGTATTCATCGAGAAAGTACTGAGATCTTGCCCGGATATTCGAGAAATATTTATATTAATGCGTCCGAAAAAAGGACTGAGCCTTAATGAAAGACTCGAAAAAATGTTAAACTTACCGGTAAGTTAAATATAGAAATGGATATTATTTTTTTTTGCAGTATATACACACACACACATACAATATTTCGTTAAAAAGTGTTACAGTAATAAAAAGAATTTTTAAATACATTTTATTATGAAAATGTTATTACAATATAATAGAAAATTTATTATAATAATTTTAAAATTGGAAAAAGAAAAGTAGAAGTATATGTGATAAAACACGGAGAAACGTAAAAAATAATAAGTTCTAAGGAAAAGTTAAAAAACATTTTATAATTTTTGCGTAAAAGTATCTAATCATTATGGCATATTTTCTTATAAATACTACATATATGTATATAACAATTTTTAATTTTAGTTATACGATAAATTACGAGAGAAACAACCTTTAATTTTCAAGAAATTAATTGTTGTTTCTGGTGATACCAGTCAAGAAAATTTAGGATTGTCAGCTGTCGATAGACAAATGTTAACTGAAAGAGTGACTATAACAATTCATAACGCGGCAAGCGTGAAATTTAACGACAGTTTAAAGTACGCCATTCTTACTAATACCAGATCAACGAGAGATATATGTATCTTAGCTGAAAGTATGAAGAATCTAATGGTAAGTCTACACAGATTGATTTTGCATTTGCATATTTATAAAAACTTTTATTATATTTCATTATCTTACATAGGATTTTATGCGATATACTAACATTATCATTATACATTTATCTTCAGAAATTTTTTTTATCAGATATATATTTCAAGCTTATGTATGTTTGCGGTATTTTAAAGAGATGTTTTTTTACATAATAGCCGTATTAATTTTTTTATTAATTGTAAATCAACAACATGTCTTATTTTTTTGCTATAAACTCCATAATTATAGCATTTTGAACAAGACACCATTTTAATATTGTTTTAATGTTGTTTTTACCTGTTAAAGGCCCTAGTATATATTAGCACAGCATATGCACATTTGGATAATCCGTTTATAGAGGAAAAGGTGTATCCGCCTATAGCCAATTGGCGGAAAATGATCAAAATGGCGGAGTCATTGGATGAGCATATCTTGAATGTTTTTACAGCTAAGTGAGTGTGGCAAACATAAATCCAATATATCATACGTAAATTTCAAATATGTGTTAATTGGGAAATGAAATTATTTTTTTCATATTATTTTTTTTCATTTTTTTCATATTATAATGTTATAATTATTTTTGAGTTCTTTATTTGCCATATTTATTTTAAATTATGTACAGATGCTTGAATAATATTCCCAATACATATATATTCTCGAAAATCTTAGCAGAGAGTGTAATACAGGAATATTCCTCATCTTTGCCTTGTGCGATTGTGAGACCATCCATGGGTACGTAGAACTTTTGCTAAATATTAGAGAGAGATAGAGAAACATGAGATAAATTTTTTTTTCTCTGATGCTATTTGAGCAAATTGAAAATATGCGCTTCTTATATTTTGTAGAGAAAGTCTTAAAATATAATATTTGTATTAGTCATACGAAGAAAATAAAAGACAATCAAGAGCCAGCGTGGTAATTTGTGCGCATATGTTTTATTACTGTTCGGGAGTCGATCTCAACGAGATCGCCCGAAACTGAGATACGCTCAGACTTGAGTGAGAAACGAGTGTAGCGCGAATCCGAAGATTCGCTGGAAAAACGGGTTTAGATGATAAACTCACGTGATCGTAAATTCGATGAAAATTTTATTGTAATACACGGGGAGTGAGCGACGAAGTGTATTCCGCGACGACTTTCGGAGATCTTCGAATATGTCCTTCTAATTACTGCCTTTTCTGCGTTTCGGAAATCTTGAAGAACTTCTTGCTAGAAGCTCTCGCGAGGTAGGAAATCTTGAACGCAGACGCCGGATATCTTTAACGCGAGGCAGAGGATATTCGCGATACGGTTAACTGTACGGTTAACTGTACTATACGGCTATCGTCGACTCTCGAACTCCCCACTTTCACACGTTTACAGTATCTTAACAATAAAGAAGTAAAGAATACTATTTAAGGCATTAACGACTTGACCGCCGCGAGAATATGAGAAGCGATCGGATGCGAGACACTTCGTAACAAATTTGAGACGACTACGGCAGAAACGACACGAGCGAGAATAACGACAAGAGAAAATGATAACGATCGATGAATTTCGACCGGCTTGAATCGTCATCGTAGGCAGACTGATTAACGAC